CGGGGCCGGGGCCGGGGCCGGGGCTGCGGCGGGCCGGCCGGTGTCCCGGGCCCGCCGCGGGTCCGAGCGGAGCGGCGCGCCCGGTGCCACCGCGGGCCGGGGCGCGGAGCGTGGGGCGGCCCCGGCGGCTCCGCGCGATGCGCCGCTCGAGCACGGACGAGTCCACGTACCGGCGCAGCCCGTCGCCGCCGGGCAAGGAGCCGGGCTTCGCGCGCGGCGGCCCCTTCTTTGGCCTGCACGCCAACCCTGGCCCCAAGGCGGCCCAGGCGCGCTACACGTCGCCCAAGGGCAGCAAGTACGTGGTCTTCTACTTGGACCTGTCCTTCATCTTCCTCCTAGAGCTGAAGCGCTGCAGCATGGCGCGCGGCTGCCTGCAGGGCGTCAAGTACCTCATGTTCGCCTTCAACCTGCTCTTCTGGGTGAGTGGCGGCGGGGCCCCGGGGTCGCTGCTCGCGCTGGAGTGGGGGGGGGACACCCGCGACGCGGACTGGGGGGTGTGCCTGGGGTCGCCGGGGGCCAGGGCTGGACCGGCCCCTGGGGAGGGTTTCCGGTGCCGCTGGGGTCCGCCGGGCCTCTGCCCTGTGGGCGGCCGCCCCGCGTCCTCTCCCCTGTCTCTTCCTGAGACCGGCCGTGTCCCGCACCTGCCGCAGGTCGGCGTGGGGCCCTGCGCCTGGCCTCTACCGGGTGTGAGCTCCTGTCCGTGCGCTGAGCCGCTGGTGCCTTCCTCTCCCGCCCCTTCCCTTCCTCTTCGTGGGCGCAGACCATGTCCTTTCTGCACTCGCCTCCCCTGCAGACCGGCCTTCCTGGCTCCAGGGACCGCAGTTGGGGAGGGGCTGGGCGGGGGGTAGGGGAGACGGTCCCCAGCCTCCCGAAGCAGGGAAGGGAGAGGGTGTATGTGGGTGAACCCTCCGGCTGGACCAGACCCTGGGCGGGATGAGGAGTCGGCGGGAGACCGGGGCTTTCATAACTTTCGCTGAGGTGGGTTGGGTTTGCTCAGAGGAGGTGCCTGTGTCCAGGGTAGAGGTATTGGTGCTACAGGGTGGCCCCCGTCCCCCCAAACCGGAGGACACAGTTGCCACCCAGACCCAAAGGGCAGGGAGGGTGTTGGGCTCGGGCTGTGGCAGGTGTCACACCTGAGCAACTAGAGCATGCCTGGCCAGGCCTGGGCCCCACTGGCTGGGTTGGGGGAGGGTTGGTGGAGAGCTGATGCCAAGGTCACTTTCTGCTCCCACCCTTCTGCCACAACTGGGAATGAGGGGGCGTGGCTTTCTCTCCTGCCTGGGCTCTGGACCCCAGAAGGAGGCTGTCAATTGTAAGCTCATTTGCATGAGGTCCAGTTAAGGAGAAATGCTCAGAAACCGGGCCGCATTTCTGCACATCCCTTCTCTCCTGGACTCTGGCCTGGGAAGTGGGAGGGTTGCTGGGACGGGTGGCCAGCCTGGGGGGCTCCTGCCCCAGTTGCCCCCTCCCGAGGCAGTCACCCGAAGAGTTGTTCTCTGCAAGGGGCTCCTGGGAGGGGCAAGGCCCGGGCCCAGAGCGGAGGAGCCCCCCGAGAGGCCAGGAGCCAGCAGCAGAGGTGGGTACAGCTGGAGCTGTGTCCAGGCATGTGCAGAGGTGACTGTTTTCTCTTGGCGGGGGACATTGACCAGATGCAGTGGGCACAAGCGTAGTGAGCAGTGAGCTGCTGGCAGGGTCAGTGTGCCTTAGGCAGTGTGACCAGAGCTGGCAGCCGTAGGTATGATGGTGGTGAGCAGTGAGGGTGGTGGACTGACTGGGGGATGGGCAGTGGGTGTGGGGGATGGTCCCAGGTGGTGGGCAGGACCTGCTTCTCCCCTTCCCTGACCTCCCCAGTGACCCGGGTACCTGTTTGCCCGGTAAACGAGAGGGGGCCCCTCGAGGGGGCCTGTGCTCTGAGAGCAGCCCACCCTTATGGGCCCCCAGGCCGAACTGTATCTGCCCTGTGAACCCTGAAGGAGCCTCCGTACCAGCTGCAGGGCGGACACACTCCACTGATTCCTGCCGTGGATGACGTCCTCATCGCAGGAAAGAACAATTCAGGAACCCCCTGGGATCCCCTCCTGGGCTAGAAAATCCAGTTCCCTTTTATTATCCAATTACACTCCCCAGCCAAGCAAACTGGGCCCCTGCCAGTGTGCTGTCTTGGTCTCTCCACACCCCACCTTTGTGCCCAGAGGGGTTCGAGGCCTGGGGGTCAGAGAGGGGGCCCATGGGAAACACGCCGAGGCCGGGGTGGTGAGCATGGTCGGGGGGCTGGCGGGACATCCATCCCCCGGGCCCTGTGCAGCTGTCAACTAGGCCCTTGCTGCTAGAGCACCCCTTCCCCCAGAGCCTGGCTCGTTTGCTGTCTGGGGGTGCAGAGTCCCCGCAGGAGGGGTAGGTTTCCCGCCCCCCCCCATTTCCCACTTGGGAGGAACTGAGGGGAAGTGGGAGTGAGGATTTCGGCCCATGGACCTGCTTGGAGGTCAAGATGCAGTGACCTCCCCGTGGCTTCCTCCTGCCCCCCAGCCCGTGCTGGGCACCCCTTTCCTTCAGGAGTCACCTCAGAGCCCCCATTGTCCATAGGCAGATCCCCCGCAAGGCCCTGTCACCCACACCTGGCCCCATTGGGCACCTGCACGCCTGGCAGGTCTCTCTTCCCAGGCGTAAGCTCGCCTCCTCCGGCAACGCCAGCCCGCCCCTCTTCCTCCGTCCCCAGTGCGGGGCAGCGCCCTCGGCTGAGGATGGGGGAGGGGCGGGCTCTGAAGTTAGTTGACTCTGTGCGCCCTGTTTGCGGGGTTTTCCCTGGGGGCTTCTGGATGGGGACTGGAAGGGCAGGGTTGAGGCCTCCAGCCTCAGGTACCACTGGTGCTGGAAAGCATCACCCATCTGTACTGGGGTGGATCTGCCTGGTCCTGCGTGGCCTGTGGGTCATTGGCCCATCTCGGGAGAGGAAACACGCCTGCCCGTTGTCACCAGGGACTGCAGCTCGGGTGCCCTGAGACAGGGAGCCAAGAAGGTGCTGGCGGGCAGCAGGGGGCGCCCAGGGGAGGAGAGGCCCCCGTGCCAACTGACCCCCAGACCTCCACCTGCCCTCCTGCGGCATCCAGGCCCTCACAGGGCAGGGACAGCTCCACTGGGGACACAGCTGCCCTCCTGCAGGCGTGCACAGGTGGTGGGCAGCTTAGGGCCAGGGTCCTTGAGTCAGGGGTGTCTCCTGGTGAGTAGGGCTGTGTGCGCCCCCTGGGGCGCTCTCCCTCCCCCTCTCCAGCTCTGGGTGGGTGCTCAGGGCTCCCCCAGGGGCAGTTTCTGTGGCCCCAGGGGCGGTCTTGTTGGTCTGGGGGCGGTCCTGGGCAGAGGCAGGGCTGGCTCTGAAAGGGGAAGGTGCTTCTGGGCCCCCCTGGCCGGGGGGCCGCACCCAAGCCTCAGCCGTGCAGCCCAGCCCGCACCTGCCCAGCTGAGGGCCCGGCTCCCTGCTTCCCTGGCAGGCGCGCCTCCTGGTCTTGCATCTGGGCCCCTCCCTGCTCCGCCTCCCCCTGCAGTGTGGCCAGGGTCTGTCTGTGTGGCTGGGCTGGGGGTTGAGCCCTGCCTGCCCCCCAGGCTTCTGGGCAAGTCCTGCCCTCCTGGGGTTCTCAGTTTCCCCAGCAGCACCACAGGGGGGCCTTGGTTTTCCCCTTTGATGAGCTACAGACCGAGGCCTGGTCTGCTGTCGCTGGCCTCTGGGCAAGACGCCGAGACCGGTGGAAGATGCTGGCAAAGGGCTGTGCAGGGCTGTGGGAACACCTCCCCCAGCCCCGCCGCAGTCGGGGAAACAGGCACGTACAGGGTGCCCTGCCGGAGGTCCCGGCGCAGGCCGGGGGCCTGCAGACCTCAGACCCCGTGACTCCTCTTGGCCCCAGCCTTCTGGAGGTGCTGAGGGCGTCTGTGTGTTCTGGCTCCGGTTTCTTCCTGCAACAGGCTGGGGCAGGGCAGTGGGGGTCCTGCTGCCTGGGGACCCCGAGCCGGGGTGGGTGGGCAGCCCGAAGCGGGGGTCCTTGGCCGTCCTGGTCAGGTCAGGGGTCAGTATGCCACAAGATGTCGGTCCCGCGTGAGCATCCCTTTCTGAACCGTCCCGCTCCCATTAGGGAGTGGGTGGCAGCAGGTGGTCGGGGGCTCTGGGAGTTCTGTCTGGGGCAGAGAGGTGTGGCCTCAGCCACTAAGCGGGGCCGGGGGCAGGGGAGAGGCCTGGGGGCCCGGTCGCACCTCGCCATCGTAGGCCCTGCCCCCTGTCTGCTCCCCGGCTGCCCTGAGGCACCGCTCCTCCTCCTTGGACACCAGCCTCAGGGGGTCCCCGGTCAGTGGGGCCACCTACCTGATGGGCTGGAGCCTGGGGGGATGTGGGGCTTGCTGGAGCTTAAGGAAACTGATTACAGTCGTTGCATAGATGTCAGTGGGCAGCTTGAGGAGATGTCCCCGGGGGAACGGCACCCAGCCAGGATGGTCCCTGAGCCCTTGCATTCAGTCCCCCCAGCCCCGGCCTTGGGCCCTTGCAGACGTCACTTCTGGCACAGGGGATACATTTTGCCATTCTTGAACTTCGTAGAGATGTGTTCTCCCCGTCTCCTGTGGCTGTTCTTGGCTGGGAGGGGCGTGTCACCCCACCATGCCCGGCCCCCACCCCAAGATTGTGCAGGCTGCCGGGGGAGGGGCTTCTGGACACAGGCTTGGCCCCTGTGGGCACCCAGCCCTCCACCCCGTTCCAAGGACCTGGCCAGCTGCCCGGCCATCTGCCACCCTGAGCCATGTGGCTGGAGGGGCAGCAGTGGAGGGCCGGCTGGTACCCTCCCCACATGGGCCTCACCAAGTGGCCCCACCTGTCAAGACCTAGACCAGCCCCCAGAATGTGTGGACAAGAAGAGAGACAGCAGGAAGTGGGGAGGACATGCCAGGCAATGGGCTGGGTTCCGGTGGGGACAGGTGGGCAGGGTGTGCGCCCCAGGTGTGTGCGAGGGAGACAGGGAGGCCCCGGTGACCACAGGGCTGGGACGGGGGACCCCGGTGGGCGGGCTGGGCTCGTCTCCCAGGCTGTCGTGGGCTTGGGGTCTGCTCCTGGGCCCCGCCTGGGCCTCTGTCTGGCCCAGGCAGCGATGAGTGGGGCTGGGGATGTGCAGCGTGGGACACGGGGAGGGTGGGGGTGGCCCCACTGCTGACGTCCCGGCCACCGTGTCCTGGGAGGGACCTGGAGTGCCCAGCCTTCCCAGGACTTCAGCCCCACTTGTCCTGAGTTGGATGTCCTGTCTGGGTCCAACAGGGCCCATCTTCTCCTGTACTTGGAGGCTGTAATCTTCCTGCCAAAATGTTTTAAAAGCTGCCTATGCAGATTTCAAAATTACAGGTAGTTTTATTAGCCACGCGCATGCGTCCCGTGAGTGCTGGGCTTCTGGTGACTGTGATGTGCTGGAACAAGGGGCGCCTGGGGCTTCGGGGCAGCGCGTCGGTGACGTGTGTGCGTGTTTGGGTGAAACTGTGTGATGGTGAGGGACGTGGGCTGTGTGTCCGCGTCACAGTGCGTGTGACGGCAGCACCTGGGTGAGAGCCGGCGGGTGTCTCTCCTGCCACCTCGGAGCTGGAGGTGAGGATGCTTTGTGGAGTCTTAATTGAAGAAATCTTGTTTCCACCAAAGCTGGGGGCAGCGCCCAGCCCCTCCAGGATACCCCCGACCCGGACGCCCCCCCCACCGCCTCCACAGTGACTTTGCCGTGGTATCCTCCCCGTGCCCTTCCACGCGTCCCCACGGGGCCAGGGAGCTCGGAGGGGCTCATTTTCCTGCTGACTGGAGCCATCCGCGCTGCCCTTGAAGGCAGAGCCAGCTGGGCAGCCCTTTGGTTTTAAATAACAATTCTCCTCTCTGCTCAGAGGCAGCCCCACCCACCCCGCTGGGGCCCTGGCCTGGGGGCTCAGCCCGGAGACGTAACCCTCCCAGAGGGGGCGCTGCTGGGCTCTGCAGGGGACGGACGTGTGTGGGCTGGGCGAGGGCCCAGGACAGCCTGGCCGGTCGCTGTTTCCTGCAGCCAGAGTGGTCCGACTTCAGCTCCCTCCAAGGGGAGGCTGCCCCCACGCTCGCCCTCCCTGGCCTCTGCCCCAGGGTCCCTCCCCTGCCCCAGTCCCGGCCAGAGGCCAGGGGAGCCCTCTGCCTGCGCAGGTCTGCAAGGGCCCCGCTGGCTGCTCCCAGCTCAGCCTTCCCCCCGGCGTCCTTGGAGAGCTCCCCGTTCCTCACCTGCAGGTCGGGTGGGAGGGTTGAGGGAGCCAGCACGTGTCCCAGCCTCTCTGTGTCCCATCACGGCACCCCCTGGGCAGGTGTGGGTGCCCAGAGGCGCTGGTGGCCAGCCTTGCTCCCTCATGGTGGCCTTGCCAGCGGTCAGCACCGTGGACAGCTCTGTCCCCGCACCGCTGGCCGGGGCCTGCCACACGGGGGTCATCCCCATCCCACAGGTGGGGGCACACACATCTCCGTACAGCCAGCAGACCCCACCATACCTGGGTCTGTGCCCCAGCCCAGCTCTGCGGTGAGGCTGGATCCTCGGGGCCGTCACCCGCTGCCAGTGCCCCCAGCCCGGCTGCTGGCCCCCCAACGCCCCCCACCCCACCCCCGGGCACACGCCCGGAGCTGCAGCCCCCACCCCGCCCGAGGAGGGCTCAGATGGGATGCGGGCCAGGGCACGAGAGCCCTGTCCTGTCTGGGATGCTTAGTGCTGCCACCCAGGCCCCACCCTCAGCCAGGAGCGTTCAGAGTGGGTGGTTTATAATTTTTAGACAGAAGCTCTTGTTTTTGGTGGAAGGTGCAAAGGGGGATGGGGTGGGGGTCAGAGAGGAGCCCTGTGTTTGCCCTAAGCTTACCAGACCCCCACTGGGGCTCTCCTGGCCTGCTTAGCCAGCTCCGGGCGAGGCCCAGAGGGACCTTAGACGCCAGCGGGAGGCCTGGGCCAGAGCCCCGGGCGCGCCCACCCCTCGGGGACCCCGCGGCTGCTGCTGCTGTTGGGCTGGGAGCTGCACCACCGCCCCCCGCCCCATAATTGCGGTCTCTTGCTGGCCCGGCTTCACGCACGGTGTGTGCTCCCCGGTGCGTTAGTGAGAGCGGAGCAGCGTCCCCCATCCCCACCCCTGTAGCCAGGGCTGCCTGCTGATGGGGGTGGGGTGAGTGAGTACACGAGGGGAGGCCCACGGGGAGGCGGAAGCCTCCTCAGGCAGGGGTCTCAGGGCCCATCCGGCCTGAGTCTGGGGTGGGGGGTCCTTGCCAGGGTCAAGGTCAGATATCGAGGAGGCTTCTGGGCCCGGGGGGTGCGGGGCCCCATGTGATGCCCAGTTTTGAGTGGGGCAGGGCCCCCAGGGCTGCCAGCCCGTAGGCATCAGTCCCCAGGTGGTCTCCCAAAGCCCAGGATGCTGTAGGTCCAGGGGTTGGTCAGCCATGTGTGGGGGCCGCCTGCCCGCGGCCCAGCCTGGACACGTGCTCCCGTTTCATCTGGAGACGACCCAGAGGCTCAAGAGTCCCGGGGTCTGGAGCCATAGCGCCCTCGGCGCCCTGCTGCCGCCCCCCCCCAGGCCAAGAGCCGTCCCCGCATTCATCACCGCCTGCCCTTCTCTGCCTCTTCCTCCTGTCTCAATCGATTTTTGTAATAATGAGCAATTATGGAGTTCAATAAAAGCTCCAGTGGTCGAGGGGAGGGGGCCAGGGAGCGGGCCGGCAGGAGCTCCAGGGACTGCACCTCCTAGGGAAGAGCTGGGGCCGAGGGTGTGTGGGGGGGATCCAGCCCCCATAACAGGACGAGACTGGGAGGTCAGCAAGGCAGCGAGGGTGCCCGGGCTCGCCCACAGGGATCTGGTGGGCTGCTCACCTCCTGCCCCCCTGTCCCTTTCGCCCTGTCCTGGAACCAGCTGGGAGGCTGCGGCATCCTCGGCGTCGGCATCTGGCTGGCGGCCACGCAGGGGAACTTCGCCACCCTGTCCTCCTCCTTCCCGTCCCTGTCAGCCGCCAACCTGCTTATTGTCACCGGCACCTTTGTGATGGCCATCGGCTTTGTGGGCTGCATCGGGGCCATCAAGGAGAACAAATGCCTTCTGCTCACTGTGAGTCCGGGGGAGGGGCACGCCGGGCGGGACACGGTGGGGGGGGCGGTGCTCGGGGGATGCCTCCCCTGAGGGACACAGACACAGACACACACGTGTGCCGGGCAGGGCCCCTCCAGCCGATACTGGGCCTGTTTCCTCCAAGAACCCCTCTCCCACGACTCCCTCTCCAGCTCCTGTCCAGCCCTCTTGGCCCCCCAGGACCCTCAGCTTTGGAGATGGATTTAGAGGCGGGAATGTTAATCACAGATAATGGAGGAAAATGATCCCTGGGCCGGGCTCCCTACCTATCAGTGTGCCCAGCACAGAGGCCTCTGGCTGCCACCCAGGTCCTAAATCACCTGCTTCAAATGGGGCTTTCGTCACGGGTGGGGCCTCCAGAGGGTCTCAGAGGGCACGTCCCCCATCTGTGCAGCTTCCGCAAGTGTCCAGCACGTGCCAGATGTTCCCGTCGGGGCTTGGACCCCTCGGAGCAGCGGGTAGGGTGTGGCTTCGGCCCCTTGGATGAAGGAGGAAGCTGGGGCGCGGGTGGGGCCCCGACCCTGGCCTTTCCCACGGGGTGACTTGGAGTTCGGAGGCTGGTGCCTGCTGGGGCAGTGTGGGCCCAGGTTGAGGGGGGACAAGATCGGGCACCCCAGGAGAGGACCGGGCCCGCTCCCCTGGCCCTGTCCCTTCTCCCCACTCTGTCCAGGGGCCCCATGGGGCCAGTGGGGCTTCAAAGAGCGGTGTGCCCCACTTACCCTGGCTTCTGGCCCTGCCCCCCGCCCTCCTTTCTGGGGGAGCGATGTGGCGGGAAAGGAGGTGCTGGCAGGCTCCACTGCTCAGCCTGGTTGTGGCGTCAGGGCTGTGCCTCTGTGGGTGCCCGAGTGGAGTCTCCCACTCTGTGAGCTGTCTGAGCAGTCAGGGGGCATGGCTTCTCCAGCTTGGTCCTCCCTGAGTGGGCACTGCCCCCCCCCCCGCTGCCCTTGGGGACGTGACCTGGGGGCTGGGGGGGTCACTGCAGTTGGACCCACTCCCTGGATGGGGCCTCCCGGGGCGTCCCTCCACCCGGCTGCCCATCACAAGGACACAGGCGCGGGCCACACACACATGCTTAAAGGTCAAGCGAGAGACGACGGCCCCTGGGATGGAGACGGGAGGGTTCCGAGAAAGGTGGCGCAGCGGCCAGGGGCCTGGCGGTCCCCAGGCTGCAGACCTGGCTGGGGGCGCCTGTCGCAGGTTGGGGGCTGGCCCGCTGAGGCTGTGGCCTCCCCACCCTCAGTTCTTCGTGCTGCTGCTGCTGGTGTTCCTGCTGGAGGCCTCCCTCGCCATCCTCTTCTTCGCCTACACCGACAAGGTACGGCTGCCTCCGCTTCGGGTGTGGGGGGGGGTGTCCCCCCCCCCCCCCCCCCAGCGAGGCCCAGGCGGCGTGGGCGGCGAGGAGGCAGGAGGGGCCGAGAACCCACACCAGGGACGCCCAGCTCTGCGTGGACAGACACTGGGAGCCGGGCCGTGGGTTTGCTTCTAACTGCAGCCCCAGGAGGCCGGGCCTGGAGGCTCCAGAAAGGTGTCTGAGCTCCCAGGAGGCCCGGGCTGGGTCCCCCGCTGTCTCAGCTGCGTGTCAGCTGGAGGGGAAAAAGCTCCCATCCCCCACTCCCCTTCAGTTGCTCACTTACACAAGTGAGGGCTCATTTACGTGTGTTTTATCCTCTGGGTTATACTCCAAGACAGTTATTTTTTTGCTCATCCGGTTTGGCTTTGGCGGCTGGAGCTCTGTCGGCTCCCGCGTCCCTTACGTGCCTCTCAGAGCACCTCCCTCCTTTCTGGTGCTAGAAGACGCTCCAGGCCCATCTTGGGGGTTCCCCGCCCCAGCCCTGGAATTGGCCATTTCTCAAGGGAGCCTGGTTCCTTTATTGGAGAACGAATGCTCTTAGGAACCAAGATCCGGGCCCTCTCGGCTGGCAGCATGGAGCCGTGTGGGTTGTAACCGGTGTGCGCAGACACAGCCCCGAGGGTCTCTGTGCCCGTCCATCTCCTTCTTAGGTTAACTAACGTGTCTGACTTGGATCCCGTGCTCGGCACCACGGGAGGCCCAGGGAGACCTTGGGGCAAAGGCCAGAGCCTGGTGGCACTTCTGGGAGGAGGTGACCGCAGGGAGGGGGACAAAAGGCACAGGGGGCCGGGGCGGGCCGGGGTCGGGACGAGGCAGGTGGAGCTGGCCACAGGGGCCCTGCTGTCCTGCAGATCGACAGGTATGCACAGCGGGACCTGAAAAAGGGCCTACACCTGTATGGCACCCCGGGTAACGTGGGCCTCACCAACGCCTGGAGCATCATCCAGACAGACGTGAGTCGGGGCGTGGCCGGGCGTGTAGGCGGGGGGCGTGGCCGGGGCCGGGGCGTGTCCCCTTCCGGCGCACAGTCCCTGCTCACCTCTCCCACAGTTCCGCTGCTGCGGGGTCTCCAACTACACTGACTGGTTCGAGGTCTACAACGCCACGCGCGTGCCGGACTCCTGCTGCCTGGAGTTCAGCGAGAGCTGCGGGCTGCACGCGCCCGGCACCTGGTGGAAGGCGGTGAGCCTGGCCCCGGGACTGGGGGTGGAGGGCCGGCCTCGCGCCCCGTGACGCCTGCTCTTCCCGCAGCCGTGTTACGAGACGGTGAAGGTCTGGCTCCAGGAGAACCTGCTGGCCGTGGGTGTCTTCGGGCTGTGCACAGCACTAGTTCAGGTGCGCGGGGACCCGCCCCGGCCCGGGCCCCCGGCCCCAGCATGTGTGTGAAGGCCCTGAGCCCAGGGAACAAAGCAGCAGACGAGTGTGGGTCCCCAGGCGGAGGTGGGGCTCACAGGGATAGTCAGGGACGATGTCCACGGGGAGCTGACCTTGGACGCCTCAGAGGACAGGCTGCCCCAGACTCCTGAGCAGAGGGCCCTGCCGTCTCCGCGTGGACGGAAGCACAGACTGGACGTCTTTACTAAGGGCCCACGTGCCAGCCCCATTCCTGGAGGCCCTACCCAGTGGCCGTGGTGGGTGGTGGTCACAGGACTGCCCAGTGCAGAGTGAAGTGGGCAGCCCAGGCCCTGGTGTGAAGTCCAGCCAGCCCGCCTCTGCTCCCCAACCCCCATGCAAGACCCGAGTGCCAGGACCCTGGGGGAGCTCCTGTTTGTGGGGTGCAGACAGGGGTCCCAGACAGACACTCCCTAAGGGGTGAGGGGCAGAGGGCAGCTGCGGGGGCTCTAGCCTGGAACCCGTAGGCCCTGAGACCACCAGCGGAGCCCAGGGTGGCCAAGCCCAACCCAAAGGGAAGGCGGGTCTGGGGCTGAGCCCAAGGGGCCCGTGGGGGGCAGGCTCTACCCGAGGCTTCCCCAGGGAAGGGGGCTCCAGGCCACCTGGGAAGCTGTGGTTTGGGGTTGGGGTGCCTGCCACGGGCTGTCGTCCCTGGAGCAGCCCTGCCCAGCCCCCGCCTCTCCCCACAGATCTTGGGCCTGACCTTTGCCATGACGATGTACTGCCAGGTGGTGAAGGCTGACACCTACTGTGCGTAGGCTGCCAGCTGCCCGCCACCCCTGCTTTGCTGCCGAAGGACGTCGCCCCTGGGGAGATGACCGTGTCCCCACCTGCGTCTCCCGCTACAGGACCTCTCACCAGCCCAGGCATGGGGGCGGGAGGACCGGGCAGCCAGAGCCCCCAGGGCTGCCAGCCAGGCCTGTGAGCGCCGCTGCGTGGCCGGGGCGGCAGTCGGGAGGGGCTTCTGACGCTTCTTATACCCAGGTACCCTCCAGAGCAGTGTGCTCCCCCTCAGCCCTGTGCAGGGCGGGGGGCTGGGGTGGGAGGTGGGGGACTGACCACTGGTCCTGGTGCTTGAGGCGGGTCTGCAGCCCCGTCCACCCACATTCCACAGCGGGGCCGCGGCCGGCTCTGCGTGCGTCTTAATAAAGTGTGTGGGCAGCAGCCCCCGAGCCGTGTCTCTCACTGCCCTGACCCCGGGGGGGCCACACCAGGCAGGCCCTGTGTGACCGTGGATCCTCTGGCCACCGATACCGGCCTGGTGCCCGGAGTGGGGCTCCGGGATGTGCGTGGGCCCAGCAGGGGGAGCTCCCTGGCCAGGCAGACGGTGGCCCCTGCGCCCACAGAGGATGGCAAGAGAACCTCAGTGAGGCTGGCTCCAAGCCGTGGCAGAGAACAGCCCTGAGCCTCACTGACCCGCCCACGGCCCGTGCTGCGGACACCCCTCTCCCAGCGTGGGGGGGCCCCCATCCAGCCTCAGGGCCTCCCCCTCCCCCAGGGGTGTCCTCCCAAAATGGAGCTCAGCTCCATCTTTCCTGTTCTCTTTCTATTCCTGTTTCGTTCTTGGGAACTTTGTCCCTTAAGTATCACTCACGGATTTTGCAAGTAAGTAGGCTGTTGGCAGTGAAGCAGTTGTCACAAGGCCCAGAATCAGAGAAACGGTCAAACTGTGTCAAACCACCTCAAAGGTGGGGCGGGGCTTCCTGAGGACAGAACTGACGGGGAGTGAGGAGGGTGGTGGGTCTGGGGGTCCAGGCTGGGGGGTGGTCCCCTCCCAAGGGCCTCACAAGCTGTGGGGCATCTGACCCACCAATTGGTACCCCATACTCTCAGTTTCCAGCCCATACTCCTGCCGGCCCCGCGGCCCCACCCCCTCTGCATCCTTGCTGTGTGGCAGACCTGCCTGGTGATGCCTAGCAAGGCACTGACCCCGGCACAACCCAGAGCACCAGGGTGCCCGGCCCCTCCTGGCCCTTGGACCCCCACCGCACGCCCCACCGGCCTCCCCTGTCCTCACTCCACGGAAGCCACCAGAACGCCGGGGACCGTTCCAGCAGAAGTCAGAGTTAGCGGTTCACGCACCAAAACCAAACTGTCTTCAGGCACGACAGCAAACAAGCAGGAAGGAAGTGAGCACAGTCCAGCCAAGCTGTCCCCCAGCCCTGCCAGCGCCCTCTGCCCTCTGCCCAGGTCCCCGTTCGCACCTCTCCGGCTCTGCTCGGGGAAAGCCGCTGCTCGCCTGTGCTCGGTCATCCCCGCGCGCCTCAGGCGCAGCCTTGCGGGCACCAGACCCTCACGCCCAGCCCTGGCTCAGCTTCTCTCATGGCCCCCAAGCTGCCTTGGCAGCCCCGACTCCACTGAGGTCCCACTGGGACACGCGGGGCCAGCCCTGCCTGCTGCCACGTGCTGGCCCGCGCCTCCGTGGGGTTCCCAGGCCCCCTCCCCCCTCGCTGGTTTCCCCGTGCTCCAAGCTTAGGCTGAGGAGCCTCCCAGGCACCCGGCATCCGGTCACCCAGCTGGCTCCACAGCCACAGACACCGAGCACGCTGTGGGCCCACAACCGGCCTCGCCCCCTCCTGCCCCAACTCCTGCAGACTGCCCCGCACCACAGCCCAGCGCCCACTCCCAGTGCAATGGCCTCCTGCTCCCCTCCTGACCAGGCCCTGACCCCGAGGACAGATACATGTCCCTTAGGACCCTCCCCCAGTCACGTCCCACAGCCGCTGCACCCTGGGCTCACGCACAGCGTCTGACCAGCGGGTCCAGCCAGCAGCACCATCACATGCAGATCCATCTGCTTGGAGCCAGCGGGCCCACCGAGGGGGCGAGGGCTGGGGTCCGCTGTCCTTCAACTCCTGGCAACCCAGGGCTTCTCCCACTGCTCCCTCCTGGGAGCATGGCTGTTCCCAGCAGGCAGTGGACCTGCGGCAAGCTGTCGTTCCGCAGTGACCACACAGCCCACAGCACCACCGTGGGACACGGCCAGCCTCTCAGAGCCCCGGTCTCCGCCGTGGTGCCCCCGCCCTCGCTGTGTGGTGCCCATCGGGCTCCCAGGCAGGCAAGCTGAGTCAGCACCTGCAGGGGGAGGCCAGGGCCCCTCTGCACGGCCCTGGGGTGACGCCCACCGGAGTGTCTAAGTGTCGGGGAGCCTGGGGCTGTCCCGGAGCCTCCAAACCCACAGCGATCTGCAGGCCGTGCAGGACTCCCTGCCAGCCTGTGGGTCTCGCCGTCACCGGCCACCAGCGGGCAGACAGCCAGGGCTGGGCCAGAGGGGCCTGCATCCTCAGGGCCTGCTGCCCCCCACCACCCGGACTGCCCGCCCCATCACTGATGAGGAGCCTGGGGTCCCAGGCCGCCCTGACCCCGCCCGAGGCCACAGCGCACACAGCACGGAAAATGGAAGAGTCTGTATTTTGCCTGTCACTCTCTCTGTCTCTTGGAAAAGCTCAGGCCGGCTCCAGGCCAGGCCTACAGCAGGTCGTAGAAGTAGTCCAGGCCCTGGCCCAGCTCCCAGATGGACAGCCCGACGCCCAGCTCCCTGGCCAGCTCTAGCCGCACCTGCAAGGACTGAAGCAGTGGGAGTGTCGGCCCCGCCCTGCCCGCCTGCCCCACCGTGGGCCACCTGCCGACCCCTGCCCACCACAACCAAGCTGAGGGCCAGGGTTGCTGGGGAAGGGCTTGTGTCTGCTGCCCCCATGCCCAGCGTCAGGACCCACACGCACCTTCAGTGTCGGGTAGAAGACGATGTGCCTCCCACCGCGGCTTCTGCAAGACAGCAGAACCCTCAGTCCGCCAGCCCGACTCCCACCCGCCTCTGCTCCTCCCAGCCCCACCCCCCTCCAGCCAAAGCCTCAGGTGCCCCTCCTCGGGCCAGGCTGGCCCTCAGGGGCAGAGGCCGAGCTCGAGGCCCGCATCACCTGGGGCTGCCCCCGGACACTCACTTCTTGTACTCGAAGAAGTGCTCTGCGGCCTGGCTGTCCCATACCATCTGGGGCCGGTGGTCCTTCAGCGTCTGGATGTACCTGGGGGAGGCCGGGTGTGGGTGCGGGGGCCGTCCCCTGCCCACCTGAGCACCTGGACAGGGTGGAAGTGGCCTCTGCCCTCACGGAAGGGGTGAGGCCACCAGAGGGCAGCAGGATGCGGGGTGTCATCCCATCCCCCGATGGTCTGCGGAGTGCCTGCAGCACACTGGGCCAGGTGGGAGGGCCACGCGTGTGGCCAGACACGAGAAAAAGTCAGGAAGCAGGACCATGGGACGGGGTCTGGAACACCCGGGCCAAGGCTGCAGCAGCCGGGTCCTCACTGGGGGTAGGAGGAGGACAGAGACCCCGAGAGGCTGCTGAGATGTGAGCAGAGGCCGTGGCCGTGCTTCAGAGCTCACGCCGCACCCTGAGCTGGCGGCATGGCGTGCGGGTGGAGCGCAGACCCCGCGCTGTGGGCGCAGCGCCTGCTGGGCCGGTGGTGCAGGCAGGAGCTCCTGGGGTCGGCCTGAGGGAGACTGCACCTGCTGCAGGAGAAGCAGCAACTTCTGCAGTTGCGGAGGAGGTTTGGGGCCAGCTGCAGGCCTGAGGATGAACGAGAACTGGGGGCAGCCTCGGCACTTCCCCCCCCGCCCCCGGGGTTGGGGGACAACAGTCCAGGGCAGTGGTTTCCGGGCCCTTTCAGAGGCCAAGTTGTTCTCAGCCTGCCTCCTTGCTGTGGACACAGCTGCCCCAAGCCCACGGCAGGCCCCCTCACTGCCAGGAGCAGGGGTTGAGAACCCCTCCCCGCCCAACAGAGGACACACAGAGGACAGGCCGGTGCCTAAGGTGCCGCATGGCCAGGACAACTGGGATCTCCAGCTCACCCCGTGTCTTCCTGGCACGCAGCCGATGACCAGACAGGCCAGAGACCTGCAGCCTGGGCCCAGGGAGGGGGCTGCGGTGCTCCAGGCTGCACCTTGCACATCGGCAGTGGGTCAGGGCTGGACAGAGCCCCCCACCAACCAGCTCGAATCGTCCAAGATTATTGCGTTATACTTAATTAGCACAACGCTCTTGGGATGCTTGATGTCATCTGCAGCTTCTGATCCAGTGTTGGCTACGTGGCTGAGACAGGTGTGGCATGTGCGGGGATGGGATGTGTGGGGAAGGGTGAGGCATCCCGACCCAGCCTGTCCCTGAGCCCCCGAGGCCCAGGGCAGATGCTGGCGGGCAGGTGGCTCTGGGCCCTCACGTCTGGGGAGCTCTGGCTGTGCACTCCTCCTCCGGGGCTTCCCCTCAAAATCTGCTACCTGCTGGAGGTGGTGAGGCTGCGGGGGCGGCTGAGGCTGGGGGTTCAGCCAGACCCCTGAGAGCACCTGGTCCCTCCCCTCTGAAGGCCGAGGCTTGGCGGTGCCAGGGCGGGGACCACACAGGCCCTCACACTCGCCTGGGTGCAGCCCCGGGAACGTGGAGCAGCAGAGTGGGGTGTGAGCCAGGGTGGGCTGGAGGGACAGCTGTGCAGGGGGCTCCCAGGCAGGCGGTCCAGGAGGAAGAGCAGGGCCACGGGGGCTGAGGGTCGGGGTGGCAGGGGCCTGCCTGGGAGGAGGAGGAAGCCGGGGCGGGGTGGGGATGAACGGAGGGAATCGGTACCAATGGGCCCTGAGCGTTTCCCTGAACTAAAGCGGAAGGCCTCGGTCACACGCCGGGTGACTCTGTTTCCACGAAATGTCCGGACGAGACGAGTCCACAGGCAACGCAGATTAGTGCCCCAGGGGTGGGGTGAGGTGGGGGGCTGCTACCAAGCGTTCTGGAATTGGAGGTGGTGGCTGCGCAACCCTGAGAACGGACTAAATGCCGCGCAGGTGTGCGCTTTGCAGTGGGGGTGTGCGGTGCGCGACTCATACCGCCCCCACTCAAAAAAGTTCTCGGGCTTTGGAGTGAAGGGTTCAAGGAATGGCAGACAGAATCGTAGACGAAGACACACCAAACGGGTGGGTGGAGGATTCAGGGCACCGAGACGAGGTGCACGTCCCCCAGTTTCCAGAGGAGCGAGCAGAGACCAGCCGAAGAGAGGTGATCAGGCTGTGTGGGTGAGGTGTGGATGAGGTGTGGGTGAGGGGGAAGAAGGGAGCTGGGGGGGCGGAGGAGGAAGGGGACACCCCGCCCCAGGAGGAAAGCCTAGTGAGGCCTCTGCCTCGGCTGGCGGGGCC